AGAAAAAATGGGGTATACCGATGAATGTCCATTTTGTATCTGTGTATTCAAAGTGGTTAGGATAGATATATAGTTGCATTCTCTTAATGAATAGAATGATTTGTTCTAATGGTGTTTGTAAATAGGATCTCAAGTCCACATCTTGTATAGCAATTAACCACTAAGAAGAATGTATGCAGTGTGTTAATTATTGAAACTGTCCTAGCGATTTGATTTGAAACTGTCTCATTGCTATTTGTTTATCAATAAAATTATGAAAAAATACCCTACTCAGCAATCAATAGGTCACAGATGAAATTAAACAAGAAATTCAACAATATCTATAATTCAAGGAAAATTCAAAAACAAAGTGTCAGAATATAAGGGATGCAGTGAAAAAAGTTCTCAGAGGGAAATTTATAGCTGTGGAATCACACATTAGGAAAACAGAACAGGAACAAGTACACACCATGATGCTGCATTTCCAACATCGAGAAAAGGAAGAGCAAACCAAACCCAGAGCCCAAAAAGGGAAAGAAATTATAAAAATTAGAGCAGAAATTAATTGAATGGAGACAAAGAAAATAGTTCAAAGAATTAACGAATTGAAAAGCTGGTTCTTTGAAAGATTAAATAAAATCAATAAGCACCTAGGTAACTTAATCAAAAAGAGGAAAGAAAAATTTCAAATACAAGCAATAAGAAATGAAAAGGTTGTAATCACCACAGACCCAGTGGAAATTCGGAAGAATATAAATAGCTACTTTGAGAATCTTTATGCTCACAGAATAGAAGACACAGAAGAAATGCACAGGTTCTTTGAAAGGTACAAATTTCCAAAACTGAATCAAGAAGATATAATAACTCTCAAAAACCCAATAACAGCCAAAGAAATATGAAATGTAATAAAAAACCCGCTGACAATAAAAGTCCACGTACTGAAGGATTTGCAGCTGAATTCTACAAGAAATTTACAAAAGATATAATCCCTACACTCCTCAAACTATTCAAAGAAATTGAAAAGGAAATAGTTCTCCCAAAATCATTCATGTTAAGCAACTATTATACTGATACTAAAACCAGGGAAAGACAAAAAGAAAAAAGAGAACTACAGGCCAATCTCCCTCATGAACACAGATGCAAAAATCCTCAAGAAAATCCTAGTGAATAGAATATGGCAAATCATCAAGATCATACACCATGACCAGGTTGGATTCATCCCAGGGATGCAACGATGGTTCAATATTAGAAAATCTATGAATGTAATACAGTATATCAATAAAGCAAAATCTAAAAATCACATGATCATCTCCATTGATGCAGAAAATGCTTTTGACAAAGTCCAACACTCATTCATATTCAAAGTCCCAGAGAAAATTGGAATAGAAGGCCTCTAATTCAATTTGATATAAGCCAACTATGACAACCCAATGGCTATTATAATTCTAAATGGGGAAAAACTGAAATCTTTTACTCTCAGATCTGCTAGAAGAGAAGGATGTCCTCTATCATCCCTCCTATTCAATATAGTTCTGGAACCTTTAGCTGGCACCATTAGACAAGAGGGAGAAATTAACAGAATAAGTATAGGTAAAGTAGAAGTTAAATTATCATATTTGCAGATATCATGATATTTTACTTGGAAGACCCAAAAAACTCCACCAAAAATTGCTATAATTTATAAACAAAATCAGAAGCATAGCATGATACAAATTCAATATTCAAAAGTCAATAGCATTCTCCTCCACATATAACAAACAGAGGGAAATTAGAGAAAAAATATCTTTTACAATAGCACCATGCAAAATGCAATACCTTGGAATTTACTTAACTAAAGAAGTCAAAGACCTTTTCACAGAAAATTAAAGTGGTCTGAAAAAAGAGATCATAGAGGATTGCATAAAATGGAAAGATATTCTCTGCTTCTGGATAGCAACAACCAAAATCATGGAGATAGCCATACTGTCAAAATTTTTGTATAGATTTAATGCAATTCCTAGCAAACTACCACTAACATACCTCAAAGACTGAGAGAAATCGTTCCTAAAATTTATTTGGAACCAGAAAAGACCTAGAATAGCAATGGCAATTGTGGGCAACAAACAAATGGCAAGAGGCATTACAATTCCTGACTTGAAATTATACTACAATGATACTGTGATAAAATCAGCATGGAATTGCAAAGAAGTAGACCTTAGGATCAATGGAATAAGTTAGAAGCTGCAGAGGCCTCTAGGAACACACTCAACCAGCTATTCTTCGACAAAGTGGGCAAACATGCTTCCTGGAAGAAAGACAGCTTCTTTTACAAATCGTGCTGGAAAAACTGGCTCTCTACATTCCAAAAATTAAAACTTGACCAAGGTCTATCACCATGCACTAAGCTAAAAGTTAAAATGGATTAAAGATCAAAACATTAAAACACGAACACTATATCTCCTGGATGAAAAAGTAGGAGGAACTCTTGAAGACATAGGGTAGGCAAAGAGTTGATGAACAAAAATCAAATTGCATGGGTAACACTTGAAAGAAGTAACATCTGGGACCACTTCTTATTGAGAAGTTTTTCCACGTCAAAAACATCATGAAGAAGTTGAAAAGACAACCCACAAATTTCGAAAAAATCTTAACTAATAAGAACTCATACAAAGGTCTGCTCTCTAGAATTCATAAAGAACTAAAAAACATTAGGGCCCCTAAATTTAAAGACCCAATCCAGAAATGGGAATCCGAGATGAACACACACTTCTCAGAGGATGAAATTAAAGAAGCAAATAAATATATGAAAAAATGCTCCACATCCCTAGCCATTTGTGAAATGCAAGTTAGAACAACAGAGATACCATCTCAACCCAGAAAGAATGGCTATCATAAACAAGTCAAACAAGAACAAATGTTGGAGAGGCTGTAGGGATAAGGGAACCCTTCTCCACCACTGGTGGGAATGAGACTGGTGCAACCTTATGTAAATCAATGTGGAGACTCCTTAGGAAACTAGGACCTGAAATCCCATTCAAACCAGCTATCCCCCTACTGGGAATTTTCCTGTGGGAAATGAAAACTACATATCATAGTGATATATGTGTAATTATATTTATAGAAGCACAATTTGTGATATCCAAATCTTGGAAACAATCAAGATATCCGTCACCTGAGGAATGGATGAAAAAGATGTGATATTTTTATACAATGGAGCATTACCCAGCTATAAAGAATGAAAAAGTTGAAGCCGTCATATTTGAGTGGATTCCACTTGAAGATATACTCATAAGTGAAATGAAGCAGACACACATATGTAAATATCATAGTCTCCCTAGTATAAGAACTCAAAAGAAGAAATACAAATAGAAAGGTATAACACAATGAAAATGAAAGCGAGAACTTGAGGATCAGACAACAAGGAAATGGCAAGGAGAAAAGCTGAGAAAAGTGACAGGGGCAAATCCATACATTCATATGCACAAGATGGGTAAGGCAATGATCCTGAGAAACATCAGGAGGTTTTTGCAATTAGCAGTTAATTGGTAGGATTCTCAACTTGACTAACTATATATGCTGATACCTATGAACCAAGCAACTGCACTGAAGATAGCAATGTGCAATAGAAGGGTAAAGCTTGGATTGCCTGTCATTTTGGTCTTCTACATAGGTACTTCTTGTCATGACATATGAATTTTTACCATCTTGCCTCTCAGGTAAATTTTTTTCTTTTTTGAAAATGGTAATAGATAAAAAAAGACACAAGAAAAAAAAAGTGAGAACTATCCTGCTACAATTCTGTATATGGTTCGATTTCCAAATTTCTGTGTAAAAATGTGTAATTGTTTATTCACATTCTTTAAATATTTTTCAGTTTTTTAATTTTTTTTCTCCATGTCCTATAGAGACATAAAGTTTAACATATCAATACTTGATAGAAAATACCTATTCCATGTTATGCCTAAGATGTTTGATATTCAGACAGACAGTGAAGTTCAACCCAACTGCATATGTGGTATGGTAATAATAAGCTTCTCTTCTGAAGGGTTAACAACCTAAGCTTGCAGACCAAAGATTAGAGAAATAGAAGGACTGCAAGGACACCCAACATTTTGACCCTAGACTTTCAAGTTCAGTTAGGACTCAGGACATAGCAGAACCTATACTGTAACATCATGTAACTCAGTTGTGTCCCAAATTTTCTGCTGAAGGAAATTTTGGGGCCACAGAGCAATGTGATCAATGACATTGAATGTGCCTAAGGAGAGTCACAAGGAGAGAAAACTTTTTCTCAGGCTTTCACAGAAAGCAAATTGGTCAAGCAATGGCTGTGACTCATCCACATGGCTGATGCTGACAAAGGATCTGCAAACTGTGGTACAGGGTTACACAATAAATCCTGAGGGTACTTAAATGACCTTGTCACGTGCAAAAGTTACATTTCTTGTTATATAGCTCTTGCTTTATCTTGTTCTTAACCATCCAGCAGAAAAGTATAAAAATGAGGTATAGAAAGTAAAGCTAAAAAAAAAGAAAGTAAATCTATATTAATATGCTGAGTTGTGAAAGGCTCAAGTCAACTCCTTCTGCGGATAATGCACTATTGTGGACTGCTGGACTCTGTTGGATTGTTTTGCTGAATTTACGCACCTATAGTATTTAGATGCCAATGGAGTATCCATCTCTGATGGGACTGAACAGAAAATGGGTATACAAAGGAAGGACCATTTTGTATCTGTATATACAAATACAAATCTGTATATACAAATCTGTATATACAGAATAGTTAGGATAGATATACAGCTGCTTTCGCTTAATTCACTGAGAAGAAAGATTTATACTAATAGTGTTTGGACAGGATATCGTGTCTGCATCTTGTACTATGGATAACCACTAAGAAGACAACAATGTACAATCTATTAATTTTTGAAACTGTCCTATTATTCAATTTTGAAACTGTCTCATTGCTATTTGGTTTTCAATAAAATAAAAAAGAGAACCAACATGTAAAAGAAACTCACTCTTGCCTCTCTAATTCTTACCTGTGGTCTTGGGCTGTATACTTGAGGAGCTCAGCCAACTGTAAGGGATATTTGCAGATCTTCTGCACTGGAGTCAGCAGGAAGCCATCAATGGCAATGTCAATCATCTGCTGCAAGAGGCGACAGGCCTCAAAGAAGTGCTGGTAGCGGCTGTCTTTCATCAGCTTGGAAAGTTCCATGCAGGCGTCCAGGTGGTTGTTACAATATTCAGAGTATATCCAGAATCCATCTTGCTGTGGAAAGAGAAGAGAAAAAAAAGTGAAAGGCTTCTAAAGGCCCCCAAAGAAATACTGAATAATAGAAAGACAAAGCCTATTCTTCTGCAGTGATAGTAAAATAATGCCAATTATTATTGAATTCACTCAATGAATAATAGCGATTTCCAAGGAAATTATTTGGCAAGTGGAAAAGCAGTGTAAAGTTCATTTAGAAAAAAAATGAATAAGTAAGAATAACAAGTAAATTGTGAAATAGAATGGCAATGAGACAAAAATGACTGGCAATAGTAAAGCAGAGCATAGCAAACGTAAACCTGTTGGTGGTACATACAGAGATTAAATCAGACATATTATTTCTGGCAATAACAGATTAGATTGTTTCATTTTACTCTGCCATTAACACCAGTAAGAAAAGCTAAGAAATGAAAGTAAAAGTAAAATATTTCTGAAGAAAGCATCCATCCAGAGCTTTAAATTAGAGGTATTTAAAGATAAGGGATCCAACATGCCTGCAATAAATACATGCTGAGGGAAGAAAATATGTGTGTGTGTGTGTGTGTGTGTGTGTGTGTGTGTGTGTGTGTGTGTAGAGATAAATATCTATAAGCAACTAGGAATAGAGGAACTACTGCAATGTAAGAAATGGTACCTATGAAAATATAAACCTAATTTCATTTGAGTATAGAAATAATGATCAGGAAGAAGACCAAGATGTCTGTTGTCATCATTTCTGATGACAGAAATGTCACAGCCAGTTAAATAAGAAAGGAAAAACAAAAAAAATAGATCACATATAGATTGAAAAAAATAAAATTGTCATTCAGAGATTATATGACTATATATGTAAATCATAAGAAGTATACTAAAATTATTGAGTTCAATAATGTGTCAGAATATAAGGTTAAAGTACAAAAGTCAGCATACAAAAGGCAACTGTATTTCTATACAAATATCAAATCACACGAAGTTGAAATTTTTAAAAGTCATTATTTGTAATAGCAGCAAAAAGCATCACATAATTAGAAATTGATTTTTAGACAGAAGACATTAACAAGATGGCACAGTAGGAGATTCCAGCCTTCTTTTTCCTCCCCAAAAGCAAGAATTAGGCAATTATTCATGAACAAAAATAACCTGGAAGTGTTTAGGAGTTCAGCTAAGAATCCATAACAATATAATGAAAGAAGCTCTGAAAACAATCAAATAAAAAAGGATAAGAAGAACAATTCCCCTGCATCCTCCCATCTGTCAGGTCTCCCAGCACAAAGAAACACTCTGGCTCACAAATCCGCTTGTGGGTAAAATAACAGAGTAAACAATCAGTGATATTAGGGAATAAAGAGAGATAGGCTTTTTCTTGATTATCTTCTCAATGCTGAGATATATCCAACACCCACAACTTAAAGGAGAAGAGGTTTACTTTGGCTCGTGTTCTTTAGAGGATTCAGTTTATGGGTGGTATCGTCAAACACAAATAGCATGGTTGAAGGGGCTACTGAAGAGGGAAGCTGCTTATATCATGTTAGCCAGGAATCAGAGCGAGAAAGGAAGAGCAAAGCATGGAGTTATAGTCTTCCAGGTCACTTCTTCTAACCAGACCACACCTCCTAACAAGACAATTATATCTCCTCTATGATTAAATGACCTTCCAAAGCTGTCTACAAGTACAAAAGGTCATTTGTGGAAGGACATTCCCAATCTAAACCATAAAAAAGAAGCTAATGAGAGTGATTGTGTCTCACAGTGACTTACTTGTCATAAGAATCCAAACACATGTCTCTGCTGAGGGTCTTAACAGTCCTTAAGACCCTCAGAGCAATTACCATGTATGAGTGCACAGCAGTTGCAGAGCTCACCATCGCAGAGTCCAACCTCCCTGCCACAAGCAAGCAAGGCTGACTCATGCAGCCAGTTTACAGCACACTGCCAGATCTAACTCCCACAGCCTTGCATATATAAATCCAATGAATGCCCTAATTGCCATAGCTGGCCTCAAGGGATATATGTGTGGACACTGCCAGCTCAGACTGGCTATTGGGTATCACTCACAGCCTTCACCAGAGAGGATCTTTTTGTATTCAAGTTTGCAGAGCACAGTGGCTTGATCTGCATAGAACTCCAGTAGCTTTCAATGCTGAATAAATTAATTAGTACAACAGTACCAGCAGCAGAAGTGTCAGCATCAGTCCATCAGTAGCTTTTGACACTTGTTTGTTTTTGCCTTCACTGTCTCCAGATAAATAAACTACACTTCCACATCTCCCTCTCTCTTCCGTGAAGCCACCTGGAGATTCCTAATTGCTGCTGCAGCAGTTTGCAGTTTCCTGGACCCAATGGTATGACCCAGCCATCTTTACAGTCCTCAGATTTCTAGTCCATAAATTCTAATCCTCTTTTGTTCATGGAACTGCCTTAGCTGCCCGTACCGTAGCAAATATAGATTAGAGATTCAGTTTTCTCATTTTCTAAATGTCTTAGTCACCATTCCTCCTTCCTGTAGCTATCCTAGCTACTGCCTCCTTAGATACTATAACTTAGTGACTCAGAGCAATTACCATGTATGAGTGCACAGCAGTTGCAGAGCTCACCATCGCAGAGTCCAACCTCCCTGCCACAAGCAAGCAAGGCTGACTCATGCAGCCAGTTTACAGCACACTGCCAGACCTAGCTCCCACAGCCTTGCATATATAAATTCAATGAATGCCCTAATTGCCATAGCTGGCCTCAAGGGATGCATGTGTGGACACTGCCAGCTCAGACTGTCCACGTAAAAGTTAATCAGGTGAATCCTGCTATAACCCTGATGAACTCAAGTCTTCATCCTACAGTTTGTTCAACCTACTATCAGTGACCTGAGGCCCTGCCACTCTGGAAAAGCCTATAACTGGCCTATTCTATGATAAATATATCTACAGCTGGCCTCCCTAGTCAGGCACATGCTGATTGTTACTGTGGGAGTGGAATCCTAATAAACTGAGCATGGATCAATTTTTCTCACAGAAGTACATGTGCTCACATGTCCTTCTACTATGTTATCACAGTAGAGAATATAAGGAGAACCCCTCAATATGCCAGCACCATGCTCTTGAACTTCTCAGCCACCACAAAAGTAAGGGTTAAGTATCTTTCTAATAAGTTATTCAACCTATGTTATTCTGTTATAACAATATAAAATGGATTAAAAAATATGAAAATTATACAACATGCTCCTTGAAAACCAGTAGATCAAAGAAGAAAAGAGGTAAACTTTAAAAAGCACCTTGAAAAAATGAAAATTGAAGCATAATACCCAGAAAAAAAGCATTAAAAGGGGAAACATACAGAACTGTATTTGTATATTACATCTGGACTAAGTAACCTAACATTATATCTCAAGGAACTAGAAAAACAACAGATTGAAGCCAAAACTAAGGGAAACAAAGAAATGATAATAGGCATGGTAGAAAAAGTTAAAACAGAGTGTCAAAATTCTAAAGATTGACACAGTACAGAAGGAGATATAAATAGGCATAGGGATTGTTGTGGACCAAAGAGTGTAGAGAACAGAGAGACCCTTCCATAGAACAGTGGCAGGCTAAGCACTAGAACAGCCCTACTGTGCTCTCCTACAGACTCATAAAATTGACACTGCCAGGTAAAAAGACAGAGTCAAAAATCTCTGCTAAGTCATACCCATTGAAACACCATTGAAACCTAGCAGAGTTGTGTGTGCACAGGGAATGAGAATCAGTTTCAGTGGTCTTTCTTGATCATCTGCTCATGGCATGCAAGAAAACAAGTCACATGTGAAGAAACATGTCAAACCAGTTGACATAGCAAACCAGCCACAATCACAGAGAACTAGATATTACTTTACGGAACTGCTATAAACTAAGGTCTCTATTTGTGAAATAAGGGGTAAGAGCATACCAATCAAATTATAAATAACATTATAAGGTTTCTTTCTTATAGGTGTTTTTCCTCTTTTATATGCAATTGCTTTTTGAAAGAGCTGGAGAGTGTGTCCTAGTAAGATGATAGGAATCTGAATTAATGATTTTACCAAGCTACATGAGCTATTTGATTTTGCCATAAATTAGTTCTCAACTTACTTCTCTCTCACAACTTTACCCTCTCAAATTCCCCATTCCTCCATCCTTTCTTTGGTGTTACATGAATACATTAACAAACACAGTTGTCTTTTGAGATGGAGTCTCATTATGTAAGTCAGGCTGGACTTAAACTTATCGTAACCCTCCTACCTCAACCTTCCAAGTGGTAGAACAACAGGTGTGTGCCACCATGCCCAGCTAACAATACATTTTTATTCTGTCTATTCTCTCTTTCATTGGTATTGCTTTTAGTAAGTGCTAAGGGATTGGAAGTATGCTAGTAAAAGTGTAGGAACAAGAATTAATGCTTTATCTTTCTATATAATTCTATATCTAATCACACTAGATTCTTCCATACCAGGGAGTGTTTTATGGTGTTAGCTAAAATAGTTTTCTTTGGTCATAAATCAGATACAATATCTTTCTCTATGATGATACAATATCATGACCAACTTACTCCTTCCCCATTCCTCTACTTACTTTCCCTTTCACACCCTTTTAAATTTCCCGACTCGCTCCTCCTTTTACATAACAGAAATAACTATCAGCCCAACTTTTTGTGTTTAATTTTCCTTTCTTTTCCCTTCTTTCAGTCTTCACTGCCATTGAAAGGCTAGGGCCACAATTTTGGCTGCTCTTGCAGCCCGTCTTTTTCTCTAAATTTTTTTTCTCTTTTTTTTTCTCTAAATTTTGATCTGCAAACTTAGGTAGTTAACCCTCCAGAAGAGAAGCTTATTAGTATTACCCTAAAACATAGGCAGTTGAGCATAATCTCACTCTCTGTCTGAATATCAAACATCTTAGGCATAACATGGAACAGGTATTTTCCATCAAGTATTGATATCTTAAACTTTAAGTCCCTACAGAATATGAAGAAAAATAATTTTTAAAAAGTTAAAAATAAGATAAACAATTACATAGTTT